GTTAGTCTTAAAGGTGCCCCAGGACCCTCTGTTGCTTTTTACAGATTCAGACTAACACAGCTACCCCTCTGATACTATACCGGTAAGGGCGCTCCAAGTGTGTCCTTTGCTTCAGGGAGTCCCACATCTCCCAGATGTGTTTCTTCTGTTTGGCCCTCAACTCCAGGGCTAGGAAGAACACGGAGATAAAGCTCAGATTGTTGGCTATGGAATGTTGCCTGAAACCACCCTCTAAGCCAGGTCAGGAAACCCCCGTGTACATATGTCCCCGGACAGATTAAGTGCCCTATCAACCTTAAGCCATGCTTTCCCTAAGAAAGGGAAGTTTTTGGAGCATTTCTCCCAAAAAGAGAAATGTGGACTCTATCTCTAAGGACCAGATCCCCTTTGAGGTCTTCTGTCTTCGAGGATAACGTTGCGACCAAGGACTCTTCCTCTGGTATGAGTAGCCCCAGAAAAAGGATCATTAGACCGTAGATTTATTTGGACTTTTTGTTATTCTGGGAGGAGTGAGGCTCTAAGTGACTTGGCCAGGGAGCTGGTTCGAAAGAAAGAACAGATCATGCAGTGGCCCAATTGACTGCTGGCAGAGGGCAACAGACAAAAGGGCTGCTATGCTATGCCTAGCCATGAGAGGACACAGTGACCTGTGCCTGGTCTGGAGCTCTCCAACTTCCAGTCATCAGGTACCTGAAAAGGCTATTGAATTTTAAACCTCCATTTAAAAATCAAGGGAGTAAAGAAAGAGCCCTCACTGCACCCAGCACCGGCGCAACCCATTAGGCGACCTAGGCGGTCACCTAGGGTGCTAACAGTTGGGGGGCGGTGACCGCGGCAGCCGGATCTTCGGCCGCCCCGGTCATCGTCGGCATTTTGAGGGCGGGACCTTCCACCGCCTCTAACGGGGGCGGCATTTCGGGGGCGGGACCTTCCGCTGCCTAGGGCGGCAAAAAAGCTGGCGGTGCTCCTGACTGCACCCCCACTCTCCCTTGGGCTCCCAATGCTATCCAGCACTATGCTAAGTGTCTGGGAAGATGGGAGCTCTCCTGCACTGTCCCTAAGTTTCCACTGATCCCCTGCCATGTTAAGGGATCTGGATGATGATGAACAGGTTTTGCCCGTCTGCCCCCTCTGCTTCTTTGCCCTTTAACTACATGCAGAGAGAAAGGAAATTTTGGATTATTTTAGGGGTGGGGAGGGGGTGAGTGGGAGACAAAGGCCTTAGCTGGTTTCTGGTGTTGTTTTCAGGTCTGTCCATTCTCCCTTGCTGAAAAGACCCTATAAATATCAATGGGGAGCAAAGAACCATAATAAATAGCTTTTAAAATAATGTTGTTGTTTTTTTTATCTAAATGTCAGGACATACTTATTTAAAAGATGCTCTACCAGAAACTTGAACTTTGGAAATGTGTTTTTTTATATCAATTTTGAAGTCCCTATAAGAAGTTTGACTTCATATTAGTACAGTTAATACGTCGGTCCTCTATCAAGCCTCATTCAGTTCAGCATGCTGCCAACATATTGTTGGATTGTTGTCTGCAACATAATTTTAAGTCATTAATAGTAACCCCTATGCTCAGTTCCAGGAAGCACGATACACATGAGACAGAAAGTGGAAGTGACTATCACCAGAACAGCAAAAGTACAGCCAATTGCACAAAATAAACAAATAAAAAATAGATATTTTTCTGGTAAATTATTTCAGCTTTAGTAGTCATGAGTGTTGTTTGTAACTATAATATGTAAACATTTTTCCAACCAGAAATAAGATTTTTCAGATCAGCAATAGTATCCCTTTAAGGTTATGGTTTTATTCTGAGCTGTAGTGCAGCTCCTGTGGCTGAAGAGGTAAACAGGAACATAGACTGGGGAGTGACACCAGCAACATGGATTATGTGAAGGATCATAGTTTGAAAGTGTTACATGTAGATGATTTTTTTAATATTTGTGTTTTTAGATGTACCGTCCATTTGGCCTTCATGTTGTTCTTATTGGATTAGAGCTTTGGACAGAAAGGGATCTCTTTACAATCACTCGCCTTTTGGATGACGTTCTTCTATTTTATTCAGATTATGTTAGAAAGTCCCTTATGGGCCGTGTACATTTTGACCACGCAGAATTAATTGTGTAAGATTATTTTATTTTAATCTTTTAAAAATATGGTAATACTGTTCTTTATAGTTATTACTGCCAATACTAAATTCAGAATTTAAAGATATTTTGCAAGATTTTGTTTGGAAACTAGACGAAGTCCCCCCCCCCCCCAATGCTTCCATTATTCTCCTGCATAGCCCAACAGGCCATTGCAGCATTGGGTTTTTCTTTGGGTTCTGTAGCCTAAGAGGCATAAGGAGCTCAATAATCTCCACATGTATGGGGAAATCCTCAGTTCATTCTACTTCCTATGCAACAGCGTAGATGGCTTCCAGACTTCCTGACCCCCACTGGACAAATCAAATAAGAAACCCTGCACAAATTCTAAATGTTTGGCCAGTCATACAGTTTCTTATTCAGTTTGTTTCTTGTAATTAAATGACTGCTTCTTGGAGCAGTTGGTACAGGAACCCACAAGGGGAGAGGCAATTCTCAATTTAGTCCTGAGTGGAGTGCAGGATCTGGTCCAAGAGGTAACTATAACAGGACCACTTGGAAATAGTGACCATAATATAATAACATTTAACATTACTGTGGTGGGAAGAACACCTCAACAGCCCAACACTGTGGCATTTAATTTCAGAAAGGGGAACTATACAAACAGTACGAGGTTAGTTAAACAGACATTAAAAGGTACAGTGACTAGAGTGAAATCCCTTCAAGCTGCATGGACACTTTTCAAAGACACCATAATAGAGGCCCAACTTAAATGTATACCCCAAATTAAAAAACTCAGTAAAAGAACTAAAAAAGAGCCACCGTGGCTTAACAACTGTGTAAAAGAAGCAGTGAGAGATAAAAAGGCATCTTTTAAAAAGTGGAAGTCAGATCCTAGTGAGGTAAATAGAAAGGAGCATAAACACTGCCAAATTAAGTGTAAAAATGTAATGAGTGCCAAAAAGGAGTTTGAAGAACAGCTAGCCAAAAACTCAAAGGTAATAACAAAATGTTTTTAAGTACATCAGAAGCAGGAAGCCTGCTAAACAACCAGTGGGGCCCCTGGACGATCGAGATACAAAAGGAGCACTTAAAGACAATAAAGTCGTTGCGGAGAAACTAAATGAATTCTTTGCTTCAGTCTTCACGGCTGAGGATGTTAGGGAGATTCCTAAATCTGAGCAATCCTTTGTAGGTGATAAATCTGAAGAATTGTCATAGATTGAAGTGTCACTAGAGGAGGTTTTGGAATTAATTGATAAATTTAACAGTAACAAGTCACCAGGACCAGATGGCATTCACCCAAGAGTTCTGAAAGAACTCAAATGTGAAGTTGCGGAACTATTAACTATGGTTTGTAACCTGTCCTTTAAATCAGCTTCTGTACCCAATGACTGGAAGTTAGTTAATGTAACACGAATATTTAAAAAGGGCGCTAGAGGTTATCCTGGCAATTACAGACTGGTAAGTCTAACGTCAGTACCAGGCAAATTAGTTGAAACAATAGTAAAGAATAAAATTGTCAGACACATAGAAGAACATAACTTGTTGGGCAAAAGTCAACATGGTTTCTGTAAAGGAAAATCATGTCTTACTAATCTATTAGAGTTCTTTGAAGGGGTCAACAAACATGTGGACAAGGGGGATCCAGTGGACATAGTGTACTTAGATTTCCAGAAAGCCTTTGACAAGGTCCCTCACCAAAGGCTCTTACATAAATTAAGTTGTCATGGGATAATGGAAGATCCTTTCATGGATTGAGAACTGGTCAAAAGACAGGGAACAAAGGGTAGGAATAAATGGTAAATTTTCAGAATGGAGGGGGTAACTAGTGGTGTTCCCCAAGGGTCAGTCCTAGAACGAATCCTATTGAATTTATTAATAAATGATCTGGAGAAATGGGTAAACAGTGATGTGGCAAAGTTTGTAGACGATACTAAACTGCTGAAGATAGTTAAGACCAAAGCAGATTGTGAAGAGCTTCAAAAAGATCTCATGAAACTAAGTGATTGGGCAACAAAATGGCAAATGAAATTTAATGTTGATAAATGCAAAGTAATGCACATTGGAAAAAATAACCCCAACTATACATAGAATATGATGGGGGCTAATTTAGCTACAACTAATCAGGAAAGAAATCTTGGAGTCATCGTGGATAGTCTTTGCTATCCACTCAGTGTGCAGCGGCAGTCAAAAAAGCAAAGAGGATGTTAGGAACCATTAAAAAGGGGATAGAGAATAAGATGGAGAATATCTTATTGCCCTTATATAAATCCATGGTACGCCCACATCTTGAATACTGTGTACAGATGTGGTCTCCTCATCTCAAAAAAGATATACTGGCATTAGAAAAAGTTCAGAAAAGGGCAACTAAAATGATTAGGGCTTAGGAACAGATCCCATAGGAGGAGAGATTAAAGAGGCTAGGACTTTTAAGCTTGGAAAAGAGAAGACTAAGGGCGGATATGATAGAGATATATAAAATCATGAGTTGTGTGGAGAAAGTGAATAAGGAAAAGTTATTTACTTGTTTCCATAATATAAGAACTAGGGGCCATCAAATGAAATTAATGGGCAGCACGTTTAAAACAAATAAAAGGAAGTTCTTCACACAGCGCACAGTCAACCTGTGGAACTCCTTGCCTGAGGAAGTTGTGAAGGCTAGGACTATAACAGGGTTTAAAAGAGAACTAGATACATTCATGGAGGTTAAGTCCATTAATAGCTATTAGCCAGGATGGGTAAGGAATGGTGTCCCTAGCCTCTGTTTGTCAGAGAGTGGAAATGGATGGCAGGAGAGAGATCACTTGATCATTACCTGTTAGGTTCACTCCCTCTGGGGCATGTGGCATTGGCCACTGTCGGTAGACAGGATACTGGGCTGGATGGACCTTTGGTCTGACCCAGTATGTCCATTCTTATGTTCTTATGTTCTCATTGATTATTGGGGCAGATTTGCTCGGGCTTGAGCTCTACAGAACTCTGGTTTATTCACTATTCAGGAACCAGGGCCCCAGTATGCTAGGAACTGTGCAAACATACATAGATTATAAATCCAGAAGTAATTGTTATGATTGTCTTGTCTAACCTGCATAAAACAGGTCATAGGACTTTCCTGAATTAATTGCTGTTTGAACTAGCGCATATCTTTTGGAAAAAAAATCCAATCTTGATTTTAAAATTGCCAGTGATGGAGAATCCACCACAACCTTTGGAAAATGTTCCAATGGTTAACTACCCTCACTGTTAAAATATGTGCCTTCTTTCTAGTCTACATTTGCCTAGCCTCAATTTCAAACCATTGGATTTTGTTATAGCTTTGTCTGCTATTCTTAAGAGCCCTCTATTATCAGATTCCAGTTGCTCATGTAGGTATGTACAGACATTGATCAAGTCACCCCTTAACCTTCTATTTGATAACCAAGACAGATTACGCTCCTTGAATATATCTCAATAAAGCATTTTTCCATTCCTTAATTATTCTCATGGTTCTTGTCTGAATCCTCTTCAGTTTTCAACAACCTTCTTGAATTGTGGACACCAGACCTGGACAAAATATTCCACTAGCAGTTGCACCAATATCAAATACAGGGCTGATATAACCTCTCTCCTTATACTCAATGTCCCCCTGTTTATAGATGCAAGGAGCATGTTAGCCCTTTTGGTCCCACATTGCACTGGATGCTCATGGTCAGCTGATTATCCACCATGACACCCATGTAACATATAATACAAAATCAATCCCTGTCCCAAAAGAGCTGACTATCTAAATATATGAGGAGACAACAGGTAGAGGTATTCAAAGAAACACATGGGAGGCCAAGTTTACTGTGGATTATTTGGTTAAATATTTGTACTTGATACAATAAGTAGAGGTCATCACAGGCCCACTGTGTAGCCTGCAATTGGAGACAAGCCTGTTAAAAGGCAGGATGAGTATAGAAGTGCCTTCAGTGCTTAACTCCAGAAGCAACGAAGAGCTCAAAGGGCCCATGTCAGGGCTGGTGGTTCAACGGTACCTCTGGTTTCAGCAAGGGAGTCATAATCTGTCTCCTCCTGAACAACAGTAAAAGAAGATCAAAGGTTCTCTCTCCAGTAGCACTTCTCAGGGCAGCCCATAAGAACTTTCCATTTCAGCATCCATGGTTTCACTAACAGTCCTGGTCAGGCCTAATCCAGTGACGCAGCCATCACAAAGGTAAAGCTTTAGAAGCCATCACATATCTTGTCATTAGACTGTTTCAGCACTCTCAACCCAGCAATAGATGTTTAGTTCCTCAGACCCTGCCTCGGCTACTGTAGCTAACTGCCCACAAAACGCCCTTCTGAATGCTGGGGCTTTGCTCCAGATAATGGTAAATCAGACTTTTTCCCTTAAATTTCTGTCTTGTACCGGATAGATATGAACTCTGAACTGGAGGAATATGAAGAAAAGACTCAGGAAAGACTCTTCCTTCCTGATATGTCCCTGGTGATAAGGAAAGAATTTAATATTGTTCATAAACATCTGGAACCCTCTGCAGAGACAAAGACCAAGCAAGAAAACAAGGAGAGATGTCTAGATATATTTCCTTTGAACTTCAGAGAAGGGAGATGTGCGTCCCACTGTACTTTCTAGAAGACGTGAAAGTGAAAACGGAAATGCCATAATAAACCTAAATGGATCTTAAGAAAGCTCAGAATGTGTATGCTGTGTTCAAATCTGACACTTCCCAAGGTGAATAGAGCCATTTACTTTTGTGGTAAAGGATTCAGTAATTTCACCTGAAAGGGACTTCCTCTCTCTCCTTCCTCTTTCTTGTATATATGACATCCATGCTCCATAAGTTTTCTGGCAGCAGTTGTCATCTCAGATATACTTTTTGACCCCTACGTTTTGTCTCCAAAGCACTGGCGACCAATACAGTAGCGAGAAGACAACCTTTTGGTTTAGGTCCTGGAAGGCTGATGTTTAAGATAAACACTTTTATGGTCTCCACCAGCTAGTGGTTCTCAACCTATTTACCATTGTTGGCTGCATCCAATACTACCTGTATGACCTGAGGATGTCACATGAGCTGCAGCTCTGTGCTAATTGGCCACAAGTGGCCCGCGGACTGCAGGTTGAGAACCACTGGAAAGTCACTTAAAAACAAATCCCAATGTAGCCCAATCTATTTATTGATGTCTGTAGATGTAGGTGGAAGAAAGAGAGAGAGCGCATGGCAAACGTCTCTCCTTTTATCATGTTCTTTCTTCCCTCTTGGCTATACTCCCCCCCCCCTTCAGAGTCAGGTGAGCATTACTTCATCGCAGTCCAAAACTGGCCAATGGAAGGGGTGTGACTCACTTGATAGTCCAACAGATTCTTTTGTTGCTGTCTAAGCCAGCATACTTTGTTCCTGTGAGGCTGGGCTGGGTTTTCCCATACCTGTCCTGATGAGGTGTGAACTGCCTCTCTGCTCTTGGATAGTCTTTGCCAGGGCTAATTTTAAGCCATGAGGACACATTTTCAGCCTCATAACTACATACATGAAATTATAACCTATAACATTACTATAATATTACTGTAACAACAATGTTCAACTCTACCCTGAGCGAAATATACACTTAGTGAGGAAAAACTCAATTTGATATCTTTGTGTCCCAAACTAACAGAATACTTTCTTGTTCTACTCCAGAGGTACTACGGGCCATGACTCCCAGGGCAATGCTCTCCTGTTGTCATGGAGAAACAATCTGAGATATGCCTTTCCTCCCATTCCCCTGATAAAACAGGTTCTGAGAAAGATCCATCATGACAGGACTAGAGTCATTCTCCTAGCACCCAGTTGACCTAGGCACTTTTGATTCCTAATGCTCTTGAAAATATCAGCCTGTCCCCCAATCAGGATCCACCCCTTTCCAGATCTCCTAACTCAGGAGGGGGATAGAATCAGACACCTTAATCCAGATTCACTCCGTCTTGCGGCCTGGTGTTCGAATGGGCATTGGAATGGAATGCTTCTCTTCTGCACCTGTTCAGGCTGTCCATACCCAAAGTAGGAAAGATTCAAGTAGGACCTACTACCTACCTAAATGGAGATATTTCTCTACCTGGGTGTGGCATAATCATCCTTCTCCAGGTACTGCAGGTATTCTGGTGATTTTGGATTGTCTCTGGTCTCTGAAAAACTTAGGCCCTTCCATTCACTCACTGCAGGTCCATTTTACAGCAATTAATGCCTTCCTTCCTCCAGTAGATGGGTATTCTGTTTTCACTCACCCAAGTACCTTTCCTCCAGTGGTCAAATCTACACCTTAATCACACTTCAATCTCGTCCTGTGAACCCTCATCAGCTCACCATCTGAATCCTTGGCGAAGCCTTCCATGTCCTATCTGTCCAAAAAAGTTGCATTTTTAGTTATCACTTCGGCCAGGAGAGTAAGTGAGTTGGGAGACCCTTCCTTATATGGGTTTTCCAGAGAAAAGGTATCCTATTTCCTCAATTCTAATTTCCTCCCTAAGGTTATTTCTGAATTCCATATCAACCAAAGTATCCTTTTACCTACCTTTTTTTTCTGAAACCCCTTGCTTCAGCTGAAGAGGAAATAATTCTTTCCCTCCATGTCAGACATGCCCTGGTCAATATGGAGTCAGGGCACACTCTACAAGAGCACAAGCTGCCTCTACAGCATCCCTGAACAAAGTTCCAAACAGGGCAGCCACCTAGAGCTCTGTCCACACGGTTGCTAGATACGAGGTGCTGGGTGAGGCCTCTGCTGCAGATGGGGCAGTGCGAACTGAAGGACTGCAAGCTTCTTTGCTGCTGGCTTCATCGCACTCCAATTAGCATTGCTTGTCACACGTGGAATACACGTAGGGAGCAGCACTCAAAGAAGAAATGGAGATTACTCATCTGTAACTGGAGGTTATTTGAGATGTGTGTCCTTATCTGTATTCCACTTCCTGCCCTCCGTACCCTCTGCTTTGAATTCTGTTGGGTTTGCAGTAAGAAGAGGAACTGGAGAGGCATCAGCCCACACTGCTTCTTATGCCCTTGGTCAGGAGCACGAGGAGGTGTTCTGCACATGAGCAGCAGACACTGCTTGTTAGAATTTCCGGACTCAGGAACAGGGTGTGCATGCAACATCCCGTGTGTGAAATACTGATAAAGACCACACATCTTAAAGAACTTCCAATTACAGGTCAGAAAATTGAGGTTACTTATTTTTAAATTTTCTAGTTAGTTTTGTTGTCTAGCTATAACCAGCCATCTGAAAGGAATTTTACAAGTGCTGCTAGTTATAGATTTAGAATTGGAGCTGCAGCATGGATGAGGAACTAGGAGAGGGTACTAAAAGTTTTAATGTTTCTGACTGGTCAAGGTGCTGTTTGTTAACAGTGAGGTTTGGGCATCAATATCCAGGAGTTAGCAGTCCATGTTTGAAGACACAGGAAACAAATTAAGCTGGTCAAACTTTGGATTTAGTCCCTCAGTTTTTACATACTCTTTCAGAACCCCCTTCATGCTAGCTCTCCAAGGCCCATACCTAACCTTTAAGCATGTGGTTAAATCCCATTGAACTCATTGGGATTTTACATGGGTTTAAGTACTGTGCTAAATTGGAACCTGAAAGTGCAGGCAGTCATACATAGTAAGCATACTCAGAGCCCACCAACACCCTATCATCTCAAGAGTATGTACCAGAATACTTGAAGGCAATTTCTAGAATTAAATCCCCCGTCAGATATCCTGTCACAAAGTGAAATCAGCAGCTGGAAACAAATAGATATTTTAAAACTTCCATGTGTATTTGAATGATAGAAGATCAGGGTTGGAAGTGACCTCAGGAGGTCATCTAGGTCATCATTTGTCCTCACATAAGTGATTTATCTTTTAATACGGTCACTGCTCTCAGCAGAAGACACTTCAGCAAAGATATTTCCAATTGGTTCTGATAGGACAAACTTTAGCTAGTAACTCTGGATTCGTAGACATTTATGTAATGAGAAGATATATTTACAAGAAGAAATTGTTTTCTTATAAATCTATATACAGATCTGATATATCACTCTTTTACTTAGACTGAATTTACTTACAACTATAGAGAACAGTTTAATATCAATTCAGTATTTTGTATCGTTTACTCTATTTTGTATTATAGGGGTGGAAGATATCGAGGGGCTGTTGGATATTCATATGGAGACCTTCTGTGCACTATAACTCCATCAGTAGCTGTTGTCAATGTATGTGAAATATAGTCCACAATATGTACACTTCAAAAACTGATATTTTAATTAATGTAAATATTTTCTCCAGTAACAATATGCTAATAATTTATTGTTTCATAGCACTTAAGCCCAGAACTATTAAATCGTCTAGATTGCCTTCCTGTATCACAAGGCATTAAATTTCACCCAGTTATCCCTAGATAAAGTCCAATCACTTTAATCAGACCAAAGCCTTTCAGTCCTTGGATGACTAAACTGTTGTGAGCCACGGGCAGAGAACAGGATACACCAAAATACCACCAGGGCTCCTGCAATGGCAGGGAATTGACAAGGTGAGATATGCCTAGATGATCCCAGCATGTAATCCCTGCCCCATGCTGAAGAAGAAGGAGGAAAAAAACCCAAAAGTCCCTGCCAAGTAGATCTGGGGGAAAATTCCTTCCCTAAAATCTGGTGCTCAGTTGGACTCTGAGCATATGAACAAGGCATACCAGCCAATCATCTAAGAACGAGGACTCCTCAAAGTCCTGATCCACCCATCCAGTATCTCATCTCCAGTTGTGGGTAATTACATACACATTGCTGCTTCAGAGGAAGGTGGGAAAAAACCCAGAGTACATCTGGTCAATTTTGCATTTTGGGGGCAGAAGGAAATCCTTCCTGACTCCTGCAAACAGCCAGCTGAAACCCTGAAGCATTCAATTTGATAATATTCCTTGTCCTAATGCAGAGCTGCAAGTGTTATGAGCATGTTGAGGGCAATGTGGAGCTTTTTGTTCTCTCCATGGCTTATGAAGAGAGGTAATGAACAAGGGATTCATAGATTCACAGATTTCAGAGTCAGAAGGGACCACTATGACCATGCAGGAAACCATGCACATACAAGGGCTGTAGAATCTCTCCCAGAATCTTGATTAAAGCATATCTTTTAGAAAGATCTCTAATGTGATTTTAAAGACTCCAAATGATGGTAAGCTGTTCCAATGTTTAATTACCCTTTAGGCTAGAAAATGGCATCTTATTTCAAGGTTGAATTTGTTTAACTTCACCTTCCAGCCATTGGATCTTGTTATGACTTTGTCAGCAAGACTGAACCGTGTCCTCCTTTATCAGATATCTGGTCCATGTATGTGACAGGATTCCCAGGGTGCAACCTGGAACTGGGGAACTGCTGAGCCCTCTGTCCCACCAGCCTGGGCTTCCTCTCACACTGTGGTGCTGTGACAAGCTGCAAACCTTTGGCAGATACTACACTTACACAGACATCCAAAGGCAGGGACATACCCAGCTGAGTTTTATGAATGCTGCTCCCAGCCACTCATGAACTAACAATAGAGAGGCTCCAGGGAATTCCCCCCAGCTCCCCAGCCTTGCACCCAAGAGCTATATTGTCCTGCCCTGGTCAAAAGTCTGACCAGTGTAAGTTTATTACCCAGTCTACCCCTCCCGCAACGTGGAGAGAACATTCACCAGCTTTTCTGAGCTGAGGTTTCCCAAGCACTTCAAGCAAAATACACTGTTTTAGTTAAAATATAACTAATAATATTGACTACAGAAAGATAGATTGTAAGTGATCATAAGTGTTAGGCATAAAAAGGTCAGAGATAGTTACCAAGGAAAACAAAAACTAAATCATAGACCTTATCACACTAGGCAGTATTTAGATCAGCAATTTTCTCACTCCACTGGATGTTACAGTCCTTAATATGCAGACTTCCCCATGACGCCTGGACCAGCCTCCTCTACTGACATTTTCATCTTCTCAGCGTGCTAGTTGCTTCCAGTGTAGGTGGGGGAGGAGAAAGGCCAAGACATGCTGCAACTGTTCCTTATTTTATACCCTCAATCCATGTCCCTGGGAGAAATTTGAGCAGACATGTTCCAGTGAGCTTTGCTGAGTCACAGTGTTCACATGCCTGGTGGGCTTTGTTGAGTCACAGTAATCAAGTATGCCTCCATTGTGTGGACTTGCGCAACTCATTTAATTGAAAATTCCTTGATTACAACTCCTCTGCTGATTAAAGGTCATGGAGCACCCTCCTAGGCGTGGGCCCTTTGTATATCATTAGCAAATTTACAGCCTATTTCAGTGACAACCATACAACAACATCTCATAACTTTATACACACTAATGATATACCTATTTGGACAGAACAACAGGTTTCAGCAGCTCATGACCTTTCATATTATACCTTACATGGCATGCTTTGTATAAAATATCACAACCATATAAGAATGATGAATATGGGGGCTACAGGGTGCTATTTTAAGGTACAGTGTGTCACAGTTTCTAAAAAACTATATGCAGCAATCAAGTCACTTCTCAACTGTCTCGTCAGTAAGCAGAATAAGTTGAGCTCCTTAAGCCTCACGTCATAAAACTTCTTCTTCTTCGAGTGCTTGCTCATATCCATTCCAGGTTAGGTGTATGCATGCCATCTGCACAGTCACCAGAGATTTTTCCCTCAGTGGTATCCATCAGACCGGCTCTAGCGCACCTGGTGCTGTGTGCTCATTCACCAATATAAGAGGCCCGGCCGGCTCTTCACCTTCTGAGTTCCTTCTTACTGCCCGTAATGGTCCTTGGAACAGCTCCGCTTACTTCAGCAAACTCTTACTCACTGGTTTAGTCCTTGTCCCTGTTCTTGCTATCCCAGTTCTTTATTTTCTCAGTTTGAACTGTTGTAGATTAATTATATATAGTTAGTTGGCACTTCTTGCCCTCCCAGCGGAGTTTTGTCCAAACCCGGTAACGCAGCATGCTTTGGTTCATGGGTTACAAACCCTGTGCCTCCTACAGCAAGCCCATGCCTGTGAGTGACCCACACTCCAGCTGTCTGACATGCCTGGGAGAGACTCGTGCCATGGACTGCTGCCAGGTCTGTCAGGACTTCAAACCAAAGTACATAAGAACGGCCATACTGGGTCAGATCAAAGATCCATCTACACCAGTATCCTGTCTTCTGACGGTGGCCAATGCCAGGTGCTTCAGAGGGAAAGAACAGAACAGGTAATCATCAAGTGATCTGTCCCCTGTCGCCCATTCCCAGCATCTGGCAAACAGAGGCTGTGGTCACTATCCCTGCCCATCCTGGATAATAGTAATTGATGGAGCTATCCTTCATAAATTCATCTAAATTCTTTTTAAGCCCTGTTATAGTCTTGGTCTTCACAACATCCCCTGGCAAAGATTTCCAATGGTTGACTGTGTGTTGTGTAAAGAAATACTTTCTTTTATTTGTTATAAACCTGCTGCCTATTAATTTCATTTGATGACCCCTAATTCTTGTGTTATGAGAAGAAGTAAATAACACTTCCTTATTGACTTTCTCCACACCAGTCATGCTTTTATAGACCTCTATCATATCCCCCCTTAGTTGTCTCTTTTCCAAGCCGAAAAGTCCCAATCTTATTAATCTCTTCTCAATGGAAGCTGTTCCATACCCCTAATCATTTTGTTGCCCTTTTCTGTACCTTTTCCAATTCCAATAAGACAGGAAACAACTGGTAGGACTAAATGACCAGGTTTCTGAATGGAGAGAGGTAAATAGTAGTGTCCCCCAGGGATCTGTACTGGGACAAGTACTATTCAACATATTCATAAGTGATCTGGAAAAAGGGGTAAACAGTGAGGTGGCAAAATTTGCAGATGATACAAAATTACTCAAGATAGTTAAGTCTAAAGCAGACTGCGAAGAATTACAAAGGGATCTTTCAAAACTGGACGACTGGGCAATAAAATGGCAGATGAAATTAAATGTTGATAAATGCAAAGTAATGTATATTGGAAAAAATAACCCCAACTATACACACAATATGATGGGGGCTAATTTAGCTACAACTAATCAGGAAAGAAATCTTGGAGTCATCGTGGATAGTTCTCTGAAGACATCCACGCAGTGTGCAGGGGCAATCAAAAAAAGCAAACAGTATGTTAGGAATCATTAAAAAAGGGATAGAGAATAAGATGGAGAATATCTTATTGCCACATCTTGAATACTGCATACAGATGTGATCTCCTCATCTCAAAAAAAGATATAGTGGCATTAGAAAAGGTTTAGAGAAGGGCAACTAAAATTATTAGGCGTTTGGAATGGGTCCCATATGAGGAGAAATGAAAGAGGCTAGGACTTTACATCTTGGAAAAGTGGAGACTAAGGGGGGATATGATAGCGATATATAAAATCATGAGTGATGTAGAGAAAGTGAATAAGGAAAAGTTATTTACTTGTTCCCATAATATAAGAACTAGGGGCCATCAAATGAAATTAATGGGCAGCACGTTTAAAACAAATAAAAGGAAGTTCTTCTTCACACAGCGCACAGTCAACCTGTGGAACTCCTTGCCTGAGGAGGTTGTGAAGGTTAGGACTATAAGAGGGTTTAAAAGAGAACTAGATAAATTCATGGAGGTTAAGTCCATTGATGGCTATTAGCCAGGATGGGTAAGGAATGGTGTCCCTTGCCTCTGTTTGTCAGAGAGCGGAGATTGATGGCAGGACAGAGATCACTTGATCATTACCTATAAGGTTCACTCCCTCTGGGACACGTGGCATTGGCCACTGTTGGTAGACAGAATACTGGGCTGGATGGACCTTTGGTCTGACCCATTATGGCCATTCTTATGTTCTTAGACCTCCATACAAGCCACCCTGGATGCGGCATTTTCAGCACCTAGAACCCTGTATTCTGCAGTAGTCATGCACATATGTTCTTGGCTCCAGTCTTGGAGTCTATCAACGGACGTCCAACAGTCCATAAGGACCTTCCATTTGAATGCACTTTTCTCTTCTCCAAACAAACAGATGTCAAGCTTCATGGCCTGATGGATTCTAGAGCCATCCTCAAGTCCTTGGATCTATATGCCTTCGAGGAAACACTTCAGGCCTCAACAACCGGTCCGCTTCTCAGCTCTGCCACCATGCCCAGACCTGTTTAAGAAGCAAAACAGGGGTTATAAATACAGACATCTGCCCCCGCTCACTTCAGCCTCGCTACTGGGCCCTCACAGATAC